CCCGCGCTCCCCCCCCGCCCCCCCCCCTGCCCCTCGACCTTTCTGCCTATGGTTTCCTCACTCTCCCATGAGTGACGGGACAAAACGAGCCCAATCCTGCCGTTAAGCCATGACAGCCAATTTCCTGCAGACAAGAAAAATTCATAAAATTGAAACGCCATAAGCCCTTTTGTTCATTTTCTTGCCTACCCCAGCCTTGAACTTGCTCCCTTGGGAGCCTCCCCTGTGCTTCCTATTTTCTGAAGCTTGCCCCGCTGGAGCATCGCTCTCCCTTTTTCTCTTCCACCTCCTCCTTGCTGCCTTTTCAGCTGGGGGCGAGGGGCTTGCTCGGCCCCGCCCGGGCCCCCCGCCACCAGCACGGGGGGGCAGCCCCAGCTGAACCCGGAGCACACCAGCTCTGCAAAGGTGAAAGGCCCAGCACTTCCCTCCATCTCTCCCTGCAGATCCCCGCCTGCGTGGCCGCTGACTTAAAATGGCAGAAGGAGCAAAGTAAGTGTCTTATTTTTTTTAATTGGGATGGAGCAGCTGCGGGGCAGGAGCAGAGGGAGAAAGCGAGACCCCGGCTCCCCCCACCCGCCGCCCCTGCATGCAGGGATGGGAGCTCACCGCAGCACGATGGAGCGAGCCGTCCCGGGGCCAGCAAAGCACCTTCTCTTTTCTTCCGCGTGTTGGTGCTTTCTCATTTGCCCGTAAGACGCAGCCAGCTAATGCACCCCATCCTTGACAGTGACACGCTGAGCTCAGGAGCGTGACAACCCCCCGGGGCAGCAAGATGGGGAGGGTTTGGGCTCCAAATTTGCAGGACACCGAATTTCCCAAGCCAGGACATGCACGTACGCACTGTCGTAGCTCTCGGAGCTGCACAATGCTTGCAGGGAGCCCTCGCCTCCTTGCCCCAGGGAGACGAACGGCTGCTCCCTCCTTCCCTGCCCCAGGAGCGGGCTGTGCTGCATCCAGCCTCATCCAGGGCTTTCCCAACCCATCTGTCTGTGTTTCCTCCACAGGGTGTTCAAGAAGACCAGCCCCAATAGCAAGGTGAGCCCATGCCCGCAGACACGGGCCCGTGCGCCCCGTCCCGGGGTGCAGGTCAGCTCAAGGGGCAGGATGTGCTGGGGCTGCTCCGGGGCGGCTCTGCCCGTGGGACAGGACGCAGGCTGGGTTTCCCTTCCCTTTGAAATCTGATTGATTCCTGCTATACCTGCCACAATGCTACCGCAGGGCTCGCTTTTCAAAATAGAAATTAAAAAAAAAAACCTATATGAACCCTTAAATGTGATGTCTGGTCCGACACGCTAACGGCACGGTTAACGAGCGCCACGACACAATTCAGGGCTTGAAAATTTTGGCCAACTCAATGGCAAACGCTAATCCGTTTCCTTCTTTCCTTTCACCACATGCTGCCTCCAGCTGTCCATCTACCTGGGGAAGAGAGACTTTGTGGATCACGTGGAGTCGGTGGACTCTGTAGGTGAGTGGGGTCGTGCCCACCGCAGAGGGGGAAGCACGGGAGACCCATCCCGGTGCTGGTGGCTGCTCACTTCTGCTTCCCGCCCGCGCAGGAGGAGCAAGGGCAGCTCCAGAGGAACAAACGTCCAATTTTCCTGCAAACACCCTTACAGAAAAATGGTGGGGAAAGGGACAAAGTCCCTTTGCAAAACAACCCGGCCACGCTGGTGGAGATGCTGGAGGAGGCATCGCCGTCCCCTTGAATGGCAGCTCCCCTCAGTCACCTTCCCAGCTGATGAGCGGATTATCTGAATTTAAACAGCACTGTGTATTTGCAAGGATCTTTCCGGGCAGCTGAGCTCACCGTCCCTTCTTCTCTGTCTGTTTGCAGATGGCGTTTGCCTAATTGACCCGGAGTACCTAAAGGACAGGAAAGGTATTCATATAGAAAACCCCAGGCTGTAAGAGGGAGGGATGATGGACACTGGTGCAAAGCTCCCCAGCAGCCTGGGACTGCAGTCAGGTTACAGCTGCAACGGGTGTTCACAGCTTGTTGCACGTCGGGGCCGGGGCAGCTGACCTGGGGGGGAAGGCTGCCTCTTTCTCCTCACCTCTCCTGCCTGGGGCACGGCGCTGAAGCTACCTGTGCCTTGCAGAAAGACCTGATGAATCCTGTTAACTTCATATTTAGTGTTTGAGGTCCAGGTCCTGCTAACAGAGTTGTATTTCTGCTGAAGAGTTATTAAAGTAGTTTTTCTTTCTTTTCTCTTTATGCAACCACTTTCCCCCATGCCCTCCCTTTACCTCACCCTTCCCCTAACCCCACTCCTCTCCGTTTCCATCCGGCATCAGTGTACGTGACACTGACTTGTGCGTTTCGCTACGGCCGAGATGACCTTGACGTTATCGGGTTGACCTTCAGGAAGGACCTCTATGTCCTGACCACCCAGATCTTCCCGCCGGTGCCGGACCAGACACCCAAAACCCTCACTCCTTTGCAGGAGAAGCTGCTGAAGAAGCTTGGGGAGAACGCCTACCCCTTCACCTTTGAGGTAGGGGTGGCTCAGCCCTTCCCAACCACACACCTCCATGGTGTGCACCAGGGCTCATCTCTGCACACGCTCTTTATTTACTTTTTTTCTCTTTGCCTGTTCTGCCCAGATTGCCACCAACCTGCCCTGCTCGGTCACCCTCCAGCCAGGGCCAGACGATGTGGGAAAGGTGAGCTGCTGACCCTAACCCGTGTCTCCTGCATCCATTCTCCCTGGCAGGGGGTTAAGTTGTGAGGTGCCAAAAATGAGAGCCACTTCTCTTTCGTACGGACGTGGCCCACGGGGTGAGGGTTGGGGAGGAAGGATGGCTGGAGCTGGCACCAGGATCTGCGGGGATGCTGTGGAGGAAGGAGGGGAATGAACCTAAACCTCAAGCAGCTCTGAGCCCCTCCTTAGTGACCGTACGTGTCCCCCCAGGCCTGCGGCGTGGACTTCGAGGTCAAAGGATTTTGTGCTGAAAATCTGGAGGAGAAAATTCACAAGAGGTATTTGCAGGGGATCCCTTTCCTGCCCCATGGCCCTAAAACCGAACCACCAGATGATTTTGGGGTGGCCAGCTTCGGGGGCAGGCCGAGGACCTGCTGTCAGCTTGTGCCACGTTGGATCGGGTACTTTGCCTGAAGGACGGGCAGTGGTCCCCGTGTCCTGAAGGATGGGCAGTGGTCCCCGGGTCAGTGCCCACCACGGCCCAAGAGCAGGCTGCAGCTTGCATCCTTTGCCTAGAGGCACTGTGATGTCCCTAAAGTCAGCCATGTCCCCTCGAAGGCCGTGTTGACACGTCCCTGCCGGGGGGGGACTGGGGGTGACCGCTTCTCACCCCGCAGGAACTCGGTGCGCCTCATCATCCGCAAGATCCAGTTTGCACCCATGAAGACGGGGCCAGCCCCGAAGTCGGAGACCACCCGGCAGTTCATGATGTCCGACAAGCCCCTGCACCTCGAAGCCTCCCTGGATAAGGAGGTCAGTACCGGGGCTGTCCCCTGGCTCGTGACACCGCGTGCATCCCCAGGGGCAGGGACCGGGATGCCCGGTCGCGTAACCGAGCCTCTTCCCACCACAGATCTACTACCATGGAGATCCCATCAACGTGACCGTCAATATCAACAACACCACCAACAAGATTGTGAAAAAAATTAAGATTTCAGGTAAGAGGGGGCAGGAGGGGCACATCCCGGCACCCACTGCATCCCAGCCTCCCTGTTGGAGATGGGGACAGCGCGCCTGTGCTGTGCCATGTCACCAACGCGGCTCTCTCTTGTCTCTCCTCAGTTGATCAGATCACAGACGTGGTCCTCTATTCGCTGGATAAATACACGAAGACTGTGTGCACCGAGGAGATAAAGTAAGTAAAAAGCGGCTGGGGGTGTCACGGCATGGTGGCCAGAGGGAGGAAGAGAAAGGAGGAGGAGGAGGGGAGACTGATGGCAAGAGGGGGTGGGGAAGATGGTTTTACACCAGGCAGCAAAAATATCAGGGTTAGAAGAGCAGATGCAGAGGAAGCGGAGGAGAGGGAAGGCTGTGGACACCTTGCCCTCAGCACAAGCCAGCGTCAGCTGGGGAGGTCACTGGGGGAAGG